AAAAGGCCTATGGGTGTTTATTCAAAGGAAGCATTTTATCCTAAAAGAGGCACTAAAGGGGGGGCTTATATTCAAGGGAGTGGGGGTGGGGTTATTCAATGTGGGGATTCTATTTAAATAAATATGGTAATAAATATTATGTACAGTACCTGAGCCTGACCCTCAACAAACATTGTTGAGGGTTCTGGCAAGATCCATGAGCTTTCCTCTGGGAACGAGAACCTCTTTTCAAACTGGTCAGAAGCAGTTGACTTCACATGGTCGGTAAATAATTTTGATGGTGATGGATGGTGGTTGTAGCGACGCCGTTTCGCCTTGTTCTTATGATGACGGTAATGAAATGGTTCACTCCTGGAATTATATTTGACATCTACCATGATTGATTAAAGTTGTACTGAACGTAAAATAAGCACTTGCAGAAATCTGTACAAGAGAGTTAATAATAAAATTAATATGGTGTAAAATGGTGACTGTTCATACAGAGTGTCAGTACAGTATGGTGAATTAGACCACTCATGTACTTAAGGGTTGTTCTGTGCAAAACAATCTTGAATTTATAAATGGGCCATGTAGCAGAAGACTGCGTATTTTGCAGTGCTATAATCTGAGCTAGGCCTAGGTCTACATTACGTAATTGATATCTCATCGTAGGCCTCTTAAGTCTAGGGCGGTAAGCCTACCTTAGGTCTAGTTAGATTTGGATAGTTTTACGACACATTACTAGATTATCACTCTTTTTTTTAATTGTTGAGGGCAGGTTTTTTTTTTGTTTTTTTTTAATACGAACAACAGAATATTGCTTTTATTTTTTTTTTTATTGATGAGGGAGGTACTGTATTTATTTGGCAAGAATATTGTAAATATAGTATAAAAACTGGTTTAATTTTATTGCTTTTTAAAAAGAAAGTATAGTTCCAGTCACAGAATTGCATTGGTTTTTTTTTTTGTTTTTAGTACATTTTGATGGTAGGCCTAATTAGGATTTAAAATGCCTATTCCAGAAAGCCTATTCTAAACCATTAAGATTATGAAGTCATTCAGACGTAATGAACGGTAACCAACGTCAAGAAGGCGCCACCTGGTGCCCTTAAATAAGCCTAGTACATGGGCTGGTGGGGCTGGTCCTTCTTTTGAGGGCAGAAAGCTAGCCCAGGGAATCCACGGTCATTGCAGTGTGACCACAAGGGGTCGTCACTACCCTACAGTTCAGTAGGCCTAGCTAGGCTAGGGCCTAGTAGTAGTACTATAATAGGTCAGGTCATAGTACTAGTAGGCCTAGTAGAGACATGAATGAAAGTGTAGGCTACTTTATATAATATGATATAATTGAATTTGTTAAACAACCAAGCTGAAATAGGCCTAGGCCTATCGTAGGCCTACACTACCGGTAGCCGATCATTTCGGTCGCGCTTCGTTTCGGTCGCGCCTCATTTCGGTCGCGGTTTATTTTGAACAAATATATGGAGCGCTGAAGGAGTTGCGAAAACGCAAAATTTAATATGCCTAGGCCCTATATATTATTATAATTAGGTCGTGAATCGGTTTATCATAGGCTTAAGTATTTTTGTTTTGCTGTTTTTCCACTAATATACTGTATCTTTCTACTATATTCTCTTTCTTCCATTTACGGTGATATATTCATGATTGAAACATGATCTTGTAATTGAAACAATGGAATTTAGTATGTGCTTCATGCTATTCTTTTTTTTTTTTTTTGCGTTTTCATATACTATACTTTTATAATTATGGTCAATAAAATGTATCTTTGATTGTAATTAAATTGAATGTTGTTACCACCTGAAATCTATTTCATAATTTAGTTAAAACAATAATCATTACAATATTTAACCTGATCTTTTTATACAATAAATTTATTCCTTTTTCTTGCAGCTTCCAGAGTTTGGATAAAACAT